CTTCATATTATTTCAACTAACACAAAGCATACAAATTGCTATGATGTTTGACATATAGAAAAATACTGTTTGTAACTAGCTCCCAGGAGGCTAGTTGCATTGTGATGAATCTTTGTAACTTAGTCACATTTATTGAGTGCCTGTCATGTCACTAAGTTGATGAATTTTAATATGAATGATGCAATTTATTTTGTAATTACATATTTTTAAAATTTATCTAATAATAAGTTAATACTGAAAATAAAAAAAAAATTAATGAAGAAATACATTATTTGAAGCCCATTTGCTACGTACATTATTTAGGTTCTATATGAGATCAAAGTAGCATACAATTTCCTTATGTTTGCTTCTGAACAGGTAAAGATAAAAAGAAAGTCAATGCTAAACAGAACTGCTAACCTAGCCAAAAAACAAAAAAGATTTGGGCTGGTGCTGTGGCTCAGCAGTAGAGCGCTCGCCTGGCATGTGGGAGGCCCTGGGTTCAATCCTCAGCACCACATAAAAATAAACAAAATAAAGGCATGCTGTCCATCTGCAACTACCAAAAAAAAAAAAAAATTAAAAAAAGTAGCAGAGATTTTATTTGTATAGGAAATAGTTTTATTTCTTCCATTATCCCATCTCCTCCTCTCCTTCCCCTCCCCTCTCTTTTTCTTTCCCTCCCTCCCTCCCTCCTTCCCTCCAGCCCTCCTTGCCTTGGTGTACTGGCCAGGACTTCCACTGAATGTTGCTGAGGAGTGTCACCTTAACAATAAGTGTTGGGTTTTGCTCATCTCAGGAGGAAAGTATTCAATATTTCACCATTATGTATGATGTTAGTTGTAAGTTTTTTTAGTTACCATTTAATAAGATAGTAAAGCTCCCTTATATTCCTGGTTCACTGAAAGGTTTTAACCTGGAATGAATGCTGATTTTTCTTCAAATGCTTTTCACACATCAATTGATATGATCATGTGGTCTTTCTTCTTTACTCCCAATCTTTTCATTCCCCAAATAAAATCTCTGGTTGTGACATATTATTATATGTGTTTGTAAAATTGAATGTGTAGAAGTTTTCATTTTCAGAAGGATTTTAACTACATATTCAATTTTGTTCAGTAGATATTTTTTAGGTTATCTGTTTCTTTTTGGATAGAGTGGATAGTTAGTGGCATTTAAGGAATTTGTCCAATTAATAGGCAGAATTTATTATCCTTTTGATGTTTATGGCATCTGTAGTGATATCCACTTTTTTGTGTCATTTTTTTCTTTGTCACTGTTATTGGAGCCTTCTCAATTTATTCATTCTTTCAAAGAACTGTTTTTTATTTCATTGATTTAAAAATTTTCTTTTCCCAATTTTATTTATCTTGTTATCTTTATTTCCTTCCTTCTGCTCACTTTGGGTTTTTTTTTTAACTTCTTTTCCTAGTTTCTCTAGATGAAAGTTGAGGTATTGAGTTTTTTTTAAATATTTATTTTTTTTTAGTTTTAGGAGGACACAATATCTTTATTTTACATTTATGTGGTGCTGAGGATTGAACCCTGTGCTTCATGCATGCCAGGCAAGCACTCTACCACTGAGCCAGAACCCCAGGCCCGCCCCCGCCCCAATTGAATGTTTGATGTTTTTTTTGGTAACATTTTATAGCTCTAAATCTCCCCATGTGTATTATTTAGATATATCCCACTGGTTTTGTTATTTTATTTTCATATTTTGATTAATCCAAAATATTTTATAATTTGAACATTCCCCTTTGGCTTTTTTTATCCTTGGATTATTAAAAGTGTGTTTCATTTCTAAGTATTTGGGAATTTTTTAGATATATTACTGTTACTGATTTCCAATTTTATTCTGGCCACTGAACATATTTTTCATGATTTTAATTTTTGAAACTTTTATTGTTTTATAACCCAGGAAGTGTTTTATTTTGGTGAATGTTTCATGTGCATTTAAAAAGAATGTTTTCTGCTCTTCTTAGGTAGAGTGGTATGTAAATTTGAGGTTCTATTGATGATGCTGCTCAATTCTTTTATAACCTTGCTGTTTTTGTGCTTTTTCTTTTGATTACTATAAGAGGAATGTTGGAAGTCTTTCATTATAAAATTGGAATTGTGTGGTTGCTTCATTTCTGTCAATTTTTGCTTCATATATTTGAGACTCTGTTGTTAGGTGCATACACTTGTAGGATTCATAAATGTCCTTGTTGAATTGATCCTTTTTAACATTGTGTAATGTCTTTTATCCTTAGTGATTTCTTGTCTTGCTTGGTAGTCTAGTCTCTTTGGCTCTTTTTCGATTTGTATTTTTTAAACCTTAGTTCTCATGTTCCAACAAAAGACATTTCAAGCCAGACATCAAAATCCAGGCAAGGAACTTTATTATAAGTGAAAATATTAGTAAGGCTCACTCTCAAGAGAGAGAGTAGGTTGTCTCCAAGCAGAGAATGAAAAAGGGAACAGTGATGTCTCCAAATTTATTACCATTTGATGTTTGCCTTGAGAACTGGGGTCTGCCTTCTGCACTCTGCCAACTGTATGTCAGGCAGTAAAGTTTTTGACCCTAGTTTGTCCTCTCAGGTCATGGTGGCCATCCTATTCAGGGGTGCTCATCTGCAAGTCAGTCCTATGTCAGTGTGGACATTGGTCAGAATGTGGCTGGTCAGAATTTAACCTTAGTGCACCGGCACTACTAAAGAAACCTCTCTTCTGAGATATATGGAGATAACTATGGCCATAAATCCTAGCTTTATAGTGACCTCAGTAGACCCTGTCAGGAGTTGGTCCCATTAATCCTTCTTTCTTGACATATTTCTTTAATTGGTTCCCTTTGTTTCTACCTGTTCATTCTCAAGGTTTGTGTATGTGGTGTTTTTATGAAAGCCATCTAATTATACATTTGACTTCAAAGTAACTTAAAAAAACCTGTGACCTTGCCATTTATTTCTCTGCTCATTACTGACTACTATCTAACATGTCCATAAATTTTCTCATTTTACTTTTAACTTACCTATATTATTATATTTAGTGTGAGTTTTTTTTTGTTTGAGACAATATAATTGATTCTTATTCTCCTTTAATTGGTATGTGTAGGCCATTTAATTTAATATAATTATTGATATGTTTGCATGTAAGTCTTCTATTTTATTATGTATTTTCAGCTTGTTTCCTGTTTTTCATTTCTGTTTTCACCTTCCCTGTTATTATTTGGATTATTCAAACCTTTTGCAAGTATTTAATCTTTTCTGTATTTCTTTTTATGGTTCTATTAATGGTTCACTATGAATTGAGTCCTCTGTTTCTGGAGTATAGTAGAAATATAGCAATAATTTGGTTGCTTTAAACTTAACCACTTAACTTTTCATGACTATCTTTTTAAAAATATCTTTATTTTAATGTGGTGCTGAGGATCGAACCCAGTGCCCCACGCATGCCAGGCAAGCATGCTACCACTTGAGTCACATCCTGAGCCCCTCATGACTGTCTTTTATTTCTCTAATTGCTGTGTAATGGACAATTTTAACTTTTATTATTTGAAGTGATTTTAAAGATATACTTGAAAACTGACTGTCATTCAAGATTAATTCTTGAAAACAGTTAATAATTAAAATTGTTAAATTTTTGTAACTTTAAATGTAGTACAGTAGAGATAATTGTATTTCTGTATATACCTATATTCTTATTTTGTGTCTTTTAGATTCTAGTATGGTGCTGCAAACATAATAATGATGAATTTCTTCCAAATTCTTCTGTGAACTTCAAAAGTGTCATACCTAACCACCTTTTTTTAAAAAAAATATTTATTTTTTAGTTGGACACAATAGTTTTATTTTGTTTATTTTTATGTGGTGCTGAGGATCGAACCCAGGGACTCGAACGTGCTAGGCAAGCGCTCTATCGCTGAGCCACAACCCCAGCCCATACCTAACCTTTACAGTTTGGAGGAATAGTGGTGATATTTCTGTGTTATTGATACAGATATTATGACTCAACCCAGTAATTTGTCTAGTTTCACACATCAGACTGCAAGTGAAATTTGAGTTCAGACTCCAGGTCTTTTTGATCCCAAATCCACGCGTTTTACCATTTTTCTGGTCATTTATTTCACAAACATTTACTGTGTGTCATGTACCACCTAATTTTTTATTGAAAACAACACAGTCCTTGCCCTTATTGTTCTTACTCTCTTGTGGATGAGATAGATATTAAACAAATAAGTCTAAAATTAAGTGTGTAATTATTTTGTTATAAGTGCAATGTAGGCAAAGGACAGAGTTTGATGAGAATCAAAAACATAAAGAACTTAGCTTAGATTGGGAATAGAGGTCTGGAAAATTTCTTTGAAGAAGTAACATTGGAGGTTAGAATCTGGGATGGATGGGAGTTAGCAAAGAGTGGAAGAAAAACTATTAGCAGAGGAAAAAGATGCCCTAAGACCTTGAGTTAGGAAGGATTTTAAAGGGTTGAAGGAGCTGAAGCAAGACAGGTCAGTGGGCTGCAATGTGGTGTTAGACTAGGCAGAGACAGAGCTGGAAGGAGAGGTGAGGCGGTTTGTCCAGGGCAGTGTGGGCCTTGTGAAGGTGAGTTTATTGATAGTTGGCTTCATTTTCTCTCCATTTAGAATGCAGACTGTTTATAAGGTAAACACTATTTCCATGAATTAGTGAATAGCGAAGCTGATTTCTTTTACCTCTATATGAGATAGTTCCAAGACTCCCGTATGTTTATTTGTCCTACAGCCTGTGATATCTCAAGTTTTTCTAATGAAAAGAAGTTGAGTTCTCTCAAAATAGTTAGTAGGTTTCATTGTGTTGGTTAAAATAATGCTAAGGGAACAATACATTTGGAATGTCATGTGAGGAATAATGAACTTTAAATATTTTCTCAATTGCAGACATGCTATAGATAAACAGGATGTACTGCTCTAAATTTTAAGCTTTTTTAACAACGAGTTATTGAAATACTTCTCTTTCAGTATTTTCTTTAAATTTCTAATATTTACATGGTTATATCTTTCTTAGTCTGAGGGAAAAGGCCATACCAGTGCTGGAGATGTGATATATGAGGTGGTGAGTCTACAGCGGGAGTCTGACAAGGAGGAACCCATCACTCCTACTAGTGGAGGGGGTCCCTTGTCACCCCAGGAGGATGAAGCCGAAGAGGGTAAGAAGTTGGACTTACTCATTATCTCTTTAGTAATTGCTTTTCCTATGATCCTCAGAAGTGGGCATGTATATGGATATATGTGTGTGTGTGTGTGTGTGTGTGTGTATTACACTGTCCCCAGTGCCACTTATGCAACTATTTAAGTTGACACTTTGCTGGTTTGCTTCCTATTTTACTTCAAGTATTTTTGAAGAATTTAATGAGAAGTTTCAAATTTTCTCAAGTATTTCTAGATCCTCACTGATATATGTTCTACTTCATGTTTGACATTATTCAGTTCTGGCTTGATTTTTGTATACTACCTATCCCTTATTATTCACTATTTTGAAATAGCATGCTCTTTGTTCTTTTTACTACATGGATGCTACGAGGAGATACTAACCAACCTCAGGACAGTCACACAGCCTTTGGCTCCATTCACAACACACTTTTAATAGGAATTAGGGGTATATGACAGATCTTTACTTTAGGCGCTTATGTTATCTGCCTATGGGATAGAATTTACCAATAGTGAATTTATGATTTATACCATCTTTGAAATAGAATTCTTAGTCTTTTGCTAGATTAAATTATTCCTGTTTTTTCATTGTCATAAAAATAATAGCTGTTTTTGGTTAATATTTGCTGAATGTTTAGTATCTGCAAGGTATCATTTTAAGTGTTTCAAATGTATTAACTTATTTGGTTCTTAATGTCCTACAAGTATTCTTTATCAACTTGGTTTTAGGGATGAGGAACAGAGGCACAGAGAGCGTTAAGTCACTTGCTTATGTCACTTGGCTGGAATTGGCAAAGCTGAGGTCTGAACCCAGGCTGTGTGTTCTGACATTGACATTTATAATTACCATATTATTCTTCCTAGTTATCTAAATGACTAAAACATACAAGCAACTCTCTTTAAACTAAGGTAAAATATTCACACAATAGGAAATTAACCATTTAAAAGTGTATGATTCAGTGGAATTTAGAAATTCATGATGTTGAGAAACCATCACTTCTAATGTCAAAACATTTTCATCACCAAAGAAATAAATACCACACCTAAGAAGTCACACCTTGTTACCCCCTTTCCTTTGTCCTCAGATACCTCTAATTTGCTTTCTATATTTGTGGGCTTACCTATTCTGGGCAATTTATATGAATGGAATCATACAAAACATGACCCTTTGTGTCTGGCTTTTTTCACTTTCCTTAATATTTTTGAGGTTTGTCCTTGTTGGTACATGTTATAGTAAGTAGCGGTATTTCATTCCTTTTTATATTCAATTGTATAGTTATACACACTTTCTTCTTTTTTTCAACTTATGGGCATTTAGTCGTTGTACCAGTTAACAGTTGTAAATAATGGTAATATTTGTGTACAAGTATTTCTTTGAATACTTGTTTTCAATTTTGGTAGGTATGTAGCTAGAAGTTGAATTTCTCATCACATGGGAATTCTATTTTCTGTGTTGTTAAGAACTGCCAAACTGGTACACAGCAGTTCAGTCTTCCTGATAGCAGAATACAGAAGTTCCAGTTTGTCTACATCTTCGCCAAAACTTGTTTTATTTTTCATTTTTGAATGTTAGTGCCATAGTAAGTATGAAGTTGTTGCTCATTGTTGTGGTTTACATTTCCCTAATGATAATGATGCTGAGTACCCTTTCATAGGCTTGTTGGCCATTTATGTTATTTCCTTTTGTGAAATTTCTGTTCAAATCCTTTGTCTATTTTTAAATTGTGTTCTTTGCCTTTTTGTTGTTGAGTTGTAAGAGTTCTTAATGTATTCTGTATAGTAGACTCTTATTAGATTTATGAATTGCAAATGTTTTCTTGCATTGTGTAGGTATTTGGTTTTATAACTTGGCTATTGTCTTTCTTGACAGTGACATTTGATGCAAAAGTTTTTAAAGAAGTGCAGTTTAGGGGCTGGAGTTGTAGCTCAATGGTAGAGTGCTTGCCTAGCATGTGTGAGGCACTGGGTTCAATCCTCAGCACCACATAAAAATGAATACATAAAATAGGGCTGGGCTTGTGGCTCAGAGGTAGAGCGCTCGTCTAGCATGCATGAGGCACTGGGTTTGATCCTCACCACCACATAAAATAAAATAAAGATATTAAAAAAAAGAATATATAAAATAAAGATATTGTGTCTATATCTACAGCTAAAAAATACTTTAAAAAAGTGCAGTTTACCTCTTTTTTTCTTTTGTTGATTGTGCTTTTTGTATCAATTTTATAAATCCATTTGCAAGTCAAGGTCATAAAGATTTACCTCAGGTTTTTTTCTAAGGGACTTAGGTTTCTTATTTTTAGGTCTTTGAGTCTTTCTTTTTTTCAATATGATATGAATTTGGGGTCTGCTATTCTTTTGTATGTGGCTGTCTAACTGCCCCAGCTTCATTTTTTGAAGAGACTATTCTTTCACTGTTGAATAGTCTTTGTACTCTTGTTGAAAATTAATTGGTCAAAGATATATGGCATTGTTTCTGGACTCTCAATTCTGTCCTATTGTTTTATATGCCTGTCTTTATCCCAGTACCAAACTCTTTTGATTACTGTAGTTTCATAGTAAGTTTTGAAATTGGGAAATGTGAATCTTCAATGTTTTTTACTTTTCTAAGATTATTTTGGCTATTTGGGATCCCTTGCAAATCTAGTGTTTTTATTTCCTTTAAAATTTTATTTTATTGATGCATTGTAATTATATAGAATAGTAGGTTTCCTTGTGGCATATTTGTACATGCACATAATATAATTTGATCAATTTTATTCCTTACTACTTCCCCTGGCCTCTACCTTCTACCCTACTGTTTTTTTCTGCTGATCCTACCCTCCTGCCCTTTTTAAACTTCATATATGAAAGACAACATATGACCCTTGACTATCTGAGTCTGACTTCTTTCATTTAACATAATGCTTTCCAGTTCCATCCATTTTCTTACAAATTACATAATTTTGTTCTTTATGACTCAACAATAACTCCATTGTATGTATATACCATATTTTCCTTATCTATTCATATACAGATACCGTGACTGGTTTTATAACTTGGCTATTGTGAATTGTCCTTCTGCTTTTCCTATTTTGGAAAAAAAAAAGGTTTTTAAAACTTTAAAAATCTTTAAATTACTTTAGGTAGTATTATCTTTTTAAAAGTGTGAAGTCTTCCAATTCTTGAACATGGGATGTCTCTGCATATGTTTAGGTTATCTTAATTTCTTATTTATTTATTTATTTATTTTGGACAGCATGCCTTTATTTTATTTGTTTATTTTTGCATGTGGTGCTAAGAATGGAACCCAGTGCCTCACGCCTACTAGGCAAGTGCTCTGCTACTGAGCCCCAGCCCCAGCCCTAGGTCATCTTAATTTCTTTCAGCAATGTTTTGAAAGCAGCTCACTTTAAAATCAACCATTTGTTTGTTACAGCCTGCTGGAGCCTTGCTTCTTCAGTACAAGGCCCTTGTAAGATTCTCAGGCTCTCCTAATAGTCATTTTGCTTTCTAGATTGAACCTAGCACTTACAGGTTATTTTTTATTTGATTAAATTGATGGTTAAGATGGTAGTCTTCTAAATTATTTCTCATTGACAGTAACCTCCTGACATTTTGACATTTTATTTCTTCTTCTTCTTTGTTTTGTTGTAGGTCGACACAGTACCTTTATTTATTTATTTTTTACATGGTGCTGAGGAATGAATCCAGTGCCTCACATATTCTAGGCAGGTGCTCTACCACTTAGCTACAACCCCAGCCCCACATTTTATTTCTTAATACTCTTAAATTTCAAACCTTTTGTTCCCACCAGCTTATCGTACCTTTTAATACCTTTGCTCCCCCCCTGCCCCCCCCCCCCCCCCTTTTTTTGGTACTGGGGATTGAACCTGGAAGTGCTTTAGTACTATGCTACATTCCCAGCTCATTTTATTTTTTATTTTGAGACAGGATTTCATTAGGTTGCTTAGGGCCTCACTAAGTTGCTGAGGCTGGCCTTGTAATTGTAATCCTCCTGCCTCAGCTTCTCAAGTCGCTGGGTTATAGGCATGCACCACCTTGCCAAGCTGTTTTCTCTTTTGTTAAGCAAATACATACTGAACTGGTTACTTCTTGATTATCCAATCATCACCCTCAACTTCCTTTTGCTTTTCTATCTTTCTTCATCTGTCAGTGTAAATATCCTCTCTGCTCTAATATATGAACTACCACTTACAGTATCATATTTTAACTCTCATTCTTCAAAGCAGGATGTTTTTGAATGAATGTCTTCTAACACAAAGTGGACATTTTAATATGGGGAACAAATAAAAAATAATTACTAGATTTAATGTCTTAGCAAATTTTTAGATCTACAGAAAGTTGAGTATACAGTATAGAGAGTTACCATATAACCATTCTTTTTTCACAGAAAGAATGGTTCAGTTTACCCTATTACACTATTATTAGCATTTTACTTAGTGTGGTACATTTATTATAATTGATGAAGCTTTATTGATACATTATTGTTAAATAAAGTACACAGTTTATATTAGGATTTTTTAGTTCCATAGAATTTGACAAGTGCGTGATATCATATTTTTTTACCAATAATGAATTATACAAAATAGTCTCATGGTCTTAAAATCCATGTCCTTTTGTGGCTTGACACCTAATTTCTGTTTATTATTTAATTTTTGTAGATGAATATAATACCTCTATGTGGGCTCCACAGCCTTGTCAGAAATTTTTTAAAAAAGATTTTAGCTATCCCATGAGGTATATAGTAGTATCTCATAGTTCTTTTTATTTTTAATGCCCAATGACATAAGATTTTGAAGGTCTTTTATATGTCTTTGTCATTTGTATACCTTCTTTAATTGAAAAGTCTGTTGAATCTTTTTTCCTTTTTTTAACTTTTTATACTTAAATGTTTTTTATTTTTAAAAATATTTTTTATTTAAAATAGTTTATAAAATACATGTGATGTTTTGATATATGTATACATTTAGGATTAATTAATAAACAGATCTTTCACCTC